CTTATCTCCCCTCCTTCTTTTTTTGTGTTTGTTACTCTCTTGTAACACCTCTAATCTTCTGGCGCTCATATGACCTTATGCAGTTGCGAGCGCCGTAAAACCTCTACTAAAACTGAACTTAAAAACTAAAACTCTTTACTAAAGTAACCAAACCGAATGTCAGCTGTACTCACTCCAACAAGCGATTTGATTGGTCGACAGAAACACAACAGCTCGGCCTACATGCTGTGCCTGTACTGCCTGCGCGTGTTCCAGTCTCGCTTTGTCTCGCAGGGCTGGGGACAGACCTCCATCTACTACAACCACCTCATGAAACACCAGGTGATGATGTTGTTGCTGTTGTTGTTGTGGTTGAGGGTGTTGTTGTTGTTGTTGTTGGTGATGATGCTGTTGAGGGAGGTTGTGGTTGTTGTGGTTGAGGGTGTTGTTGTTGATGATGATGCTGCTGCTGTTGTTGTTGTGGTTGAGGGTGTTTTTGTTGTTGTTGTCGCTGTTTTTGTTGATGCTGATGTTCTTGTTGTTGTTGTTGTTGATGCTGTTGTTGCTGTTGGTGTAGAGGTTATTGTTGTTGTTGATTTTGTGGTTGTTTTTGAGGGTGTCGTTATTTTAGTTGATTATGATGTTGTTGGTGTTGTTGTTGATGATGATGCTGTTGTTACGTTGGTGTAGTGGTTGTTGTTGTTGATTTTATGGTTGTTGTTGAGGGTGTCGTTACTTTTGTTGATGATGTTGTTGTTGTTGTTGATGTTGTTGTTGATGATGTCGTTGTTGTTGGTGTTGTTTATTTTATCTGCTAAGTAAATACAATTATTATTATTATTGTTATTATATATTATTATTATATATTATTTGTGACGGCTCCTTATGGCCTCACATTATACAAAAAGATTGATACATGAAAAGAGACGACAACACGTCTGCTCTGTGTGCCTACCTGCCGCAAACTGAACTTTATTTTTTAAATCACACTGAAATCCCGTGTGCCGAATGGAAACGAGGGCAAATTTATGACGTCACAAGAAGGGGGACATAACCGCGACAATAGAGAATCATTCTTTCAACACTCGCAACACAATTCATTCCCATTTTCACATCAGACAATCATTGCCATTATTATTGTGAATTTTGTTGCGACAGGTGAAGGCAGCCAGCAAAAAGTGCCAGCTCTGTAAGCTGATCTTCCTGAACGCGGCCGACCTGAAGGCCCACCGGACCAACGACCACTGCCCCAATCAGAAGGGAGTCATCGGTAAGTCAGGGATCACCGGTGCACCAGCTCTGTCACAGTAGTAGCTTTTCTTATTCTGTAAAATGGAACAATTTAGATTTTAATGCCGTTAAATTTTGTACCTACCAAGAGAAACATATTTTTTAAAATTCCACAGTAAATTTTGTCAGAGAAATAGGTTTTCTTGGTCTGTAAAACGGAACAATTTTATTTACCATAATTAAATTTTGTACCTGCCAACAGAAATTATATTTTTTAAATTCCACATTAAATTTTGTCAGAGAAGTAGGTTTTCTTGTTCTGTAAAATGGAACAATTTATATTTTAACGTCATTAGATTTTGTACGTACCCTCGTCATCATCATTGCCTTTCTCACCCTGCACCAGGGTATAGGCCACGAACAAACACTTTCCACCTTTCTCTATCCTGGGCTAGCCTCTTGATGTTATTCCGTGTACGTACCACCAACAGAAACATTTTTTATTCAACACTTGTCCCAGAAGTTAGATTTTTTGTTCTGTAAAATCAAAAAATTTTTATTTGACCACCGTTAAATTTTGTATGTGTCAACAGGAATATTTTTTATTCAACATCTGTCTCTGAATTTAGCTTTTATGTTCTGTAACATCGAACAATTTATATTTTAACGCCGTAAAATGCCTGCTTCAACCAGTCCAATACACAGCATTTGGTTCGAGCACAAATTCTTCCTCGTCTTCACATCACCACCCCCTTTAATCCTTCTATGATTTTGGGGGAAAGAAATGAAAGTCACGCGGTGCCAAGTCTAGGGAATAGCGGGGATGTTGAAGGATTTCCCACCGCTAGAAGTCCAGGAGATTGGTGACCTTTGAGCAGTGGGCATGTCTTCATGATGGAAGACAACGCATACCTCAAGGAGACCCGGCCGCTTTCTTCTGATTGCCGGTCCATGTTTTATCGCCTGTTATGATTCTTTTTTTTTTAAAGATTAAAAAAAAAAAGTATCCCTTTCCCTTTGTTGTTGTTGTTGTTGTTGTTATCGATCCAGCAACATCTGGGCTCTCGCCCTTCTGTCCAATGCCATGTAGTGATAAGTGCAGGTTTGCTGCAGTTGCTGTAATGTTCCGTAGAGTGTGTTGTCTATGTTAGGTCTCAGAGGGAGAAGGGTAGCTCTGATGTCATTTAGGACTGTACAGTGGAACAGGTGATGATCCACAGTCTCATATTGGCACCTCTGATGTCACCTTTAGTGGGTGGTTGGCAGGTGTTCTGGTGTGGTTCGCTCCTTCTTTCCTGTCCAACATGTCGTCCATATTTCTCCTCTTTCTGTTTTATGTTTTTTACTGTCGTGCAACATCCCTGACTAATCTTTGGCACTTGTGTGACCTAATTGTGTTGAGAGTTTCGTCAAACACCTTTACTGAAATGAGAAAAAATGATTACTCATGGTGACATGACCTCGATGGCCTAGTGGTTAGGCTACCGAACCTCTGATTATGAGACTGTGGGTTCAGGGGTTCGAGCCTCAGCTCGGTCCTTTTCAGAGATGGGCGTTAAACTCGGAGGTCCCGCCTCTTAAATGACCTAATAGTGTTGATAAGGGGCGTTAAACCTATACCATTCCACCATTTTGTTCACTTGGCGACCTTTGCCCCCGGCAGGTATGAGCGCCAAGTACACGACCCCGGACCAGGTGATGATCAAGCTGGCAGACTCGGCCCCCGAGCGACAGGTGGGCGGAGTCAAGTCTCTGAACGTGCCGGCCGTGCGGAAGGTGACGGAGCACCGGCTGGTGCTGCCCTCTACCGCCACTCTGTCGACCGCCAAGTGCATCGAGTGTAACATGGCCATGGCCACGCACGATCATTTCAAGTGAGTCTCGGGGGGGGGGGGGGGGGGGGGGGGGAGACACACGCTTGTCGTGGTGCAGGGAAAGATCTTGTCAGTTTGTTAGTTAATGATTGAGCGCTGAATCAGCTGCTTGCACTGTACGCTTCCCAGGAAGTTGAGAATGTTTCTGAGTGTTCTATGGTCTACTGGGGTAATAATATAGTGTAAAGCGCATAGAGCCTGCTGTCCAATGGGGATATGCGCTATACAATTGCTATTTATTATTATTTGTTATTATTACTGTTGAACCCCCGCTCGTGGGTGGTTGGCGGGTGTTCTGGTGTGGTTTGCTTCTTCTTTCCTATCAAACATCTATTGTCCTTATCTCCCTTTCTTCTTTTTTATGTTTGTTACTCTCTTGTAACACCTCTAATCTTCTGGCGCTCATATGACCTTATGCAGTTGCGAGCGCCGCAAAACCCTCTACTAAAACTAAAAAAGAACCCCCGCTCTGACAGCCACCTATCCGTGACGTTTCGCTACCTCAGAATGACAAAGTTCTGTCTGTTCAGGGCCTAGTTTTTTGAGAAATTTGACGTCACCAATTTTTTTTTGAGTTTCACGTCAGGTCAAGCTTTTTTCTAATTCAGTTCTTTGAGTATCTTGATAACGACTCCAAATAATCTTATAATTTTGATAGGGCAGACAGACCATTCGCTTTCTGACCTCATGGTCTTAGTAAGGCACATGCAGGAGACCTGAGGTCAAATTCCCACTCTTATCTTCCATTTTTCCCCCCGTTCCTGTTGTTTTCCATACAAAAAAAAAAGACTTACTTTAAAATTTTCAATCCCCACTTCTGTCTTCTCCCATTGTCTCCCCTACACATTATCTCCCCTACAGGAAGTTCATCCAGTCCCTACCCTTTATCTCCCCTAGACATTATCTCTCCCTACGAGAAGTTAATCAAGTCTCTCTCATTATCTCCCCTACACATTATCTCCCCTACAGGAAGTTCATCCAGTCTCTCCCATTATCTCCCCTACAGGAAGTTCATCCAGTCCCTACCCTTTATCTCCCCTAGACATTATCTCCCCCTACGAGAAGTTTATCAAGTCTCTCTCATTATCTCCCCTACAGGAAGTTCATCCAGTGCTCCATGTGCCGGTTCGCCACCAGCTGCTGTAACGCCTATGCCAATCACATGATCGGGTTCCACTCGGGCCAGATGGCGCCGGGCGGGGTTGCTAGGAAGTCGTCCTCTGAGACACCGCTAGAGGACAAGCTCTACTGCGTCTGTGGCTTTGCCAGTCGCTACGGGAACACGCTAGGTATGTGGCAGATGACCAGGTGAAATATTAAGCGCTCAGAGCCTGTGTACTTTAATCTGGGTTGAGCGCTATTTAAATGTCTTTTATTATTATTATTATTATTATTATTATTATATTGGGGACTGAGGTTCAGACGTGGCTATGTCTGTTTTCGTCATCGTCATCCTCATTATAAAGTTAAACCTGCATGTTTGCCGACAATCGTCTGAAATCCGACAATCACGACCCGACCCGACCCGCGAGCCGCCCGATGCTATCGCTAGGCCCACCTGTATCAGTCAATGTGCGAAGTGCGAGGCCTGGCCGACTGCCAGCGCCCCCTTTTTCTCCCGTCGGCTTTTCAGACAATTTTCAGACAATCTGGTCGAGGCTCACATGCAGGTCTATCAAGTGTCAGTTTTGTAACAGACATTGGGAATCAGGGATTCACCATTCCTTTTTTTTTCCTGATTGGATGCTCTGAAAAAATATATAGGTCTCTATGTGCTGCGACGTGGTGGAATCAGGCGCTCAGGCGCTCGTCAGTTTTTGGGCATATAGAGTTATTGATATCATCTTAAGCTTGTTCTTTTCTCTTGCATTTGGCTGAAAAAAAACCCTACCCATCTATCTTGAATAGAAGTCGAGATGTTTGGGATTGATGGAGGTGGGGGTCGCCTGGTGTGAGAGGTAAAATTAGCGAGAACATGGCTCTCTCTCTCTCTTCTGGCGCTGTGGCTTCATAAACGGTCAGCGATGCCGACAGCACGCAGGAACTCAGCACTCGCCCGGGGGTCGTTGAAAAGTGCTGAAAGTGGGTTACTGAAGAGAAAATAAATAAATCTATTGGCGTGTCAATCTGGGTAAGCGCTGTTGCTTCTTTGGCGATGCTGTCAACTTCCTCGTTCCCAGCCAGTCGAGAGAACATGGCTGCCAAAGCGTGGTGACTTCCAAAGCTCGAGCGTCTTTGGAAATGAGAAATTTACCTTTTTTGTGTCTTTAAGTTTTTCTGTAACTTCCACACATGAAAAGGACATAAAAAGTGTTGGTCCAAAAAAAAAAAAGTTTGAGGGACAAATAATGGCCAACACTAAGAAAAATGTCTGTTTCTTTGATTTCCTAGTTTTGACAAACCCCTTATTTCACCAGATGGCCTCACATATTATCCTGATCCTTCCTCTCCACCCATCTGTTGGGGCTTTCCAAATAAGTTTAGTGGCGTTGGGCGTTGGCTGGGCTACCGGACTCGTAATCGTGAGATTGCGGGTTTGGGGGTTCGAGCCTCAGCTTGGTCCAACGTTTTGTCCTTGGGAAAGGCACTTTACACGAATTTCCCACTTGGCTCGGTCCTTTCGGAGACGGACGTTAAACTAGGAGGCTCGCCTCTTTAATAACCTAATAGTGTTGATAGGGGCGTTAAACCCATACCATTTCACCATTTTTCACAAGCAAGTTTCTCTGGGTCTACTCCTGCCTCGTTTGCCCTCGATGTTACCAGTGAGAGCAAGATGTTCAAGGCCTTTGTAGTGATGCAAGGGTCCCAGAAATAGCATTTGTCTCCTTATCTCACTCCCTCCCTCCCTCAAATATGAATGTTTTCTGTCCTCGACCAACCATCTTGTGTCCTGCTACAAGGACCTATCCCCACTGCTACAACGACCTATCCCCACCCTTTCATGCTCTCTCTCCCTCTCCCCCCC